TAGCCCCATTATTCTCCACAACCTTCTGTGGAATCTCCCATCTGGACTTGGGAGGGTCTAGCCAGTACACAATGCCAGCTACTTGGTTGTACCATTCATGCATGCTGTTCCTGCCTGCATCTTACACCCTGCCACTATGTGTTGGACTGTCTCTGAGGCCTCTTTGCACAACCTGCACCTTGGGACCTGTCTAGTATGGGAGACCCCTGCTTCTATGAATCTGGTGCTTATTGCCTGTTCTGCTGCTGCTATCATCAGTGCCTCAGTGCTGTCCAGCCCTTTCCAGCCACTGGTAGGATTTCCCAATGTTAGCTACCTCAGCCTTCTGAGCTGTGCTCACGTACTGGCCCATATGGCCCTGCAGCCTGGCAGCTATGATGCCTGATCGGACTTTCCATGTTGTAGGGAGGCAGGTTATTGCCTGGTAGTTGGATAGTGCTGTTCCCTTGTGGGGTTTTTTCATGATCAGCACTGTCCTTCCTTGAGTTAGCCAGTCTGCGTGGGAGCCTGCTGCTACCAGCCGGTTCATCTGTGCTGCTAAGCATTCATGCACTGTTGTTAATTTCTTTAGCCAGTAGATGTCCAGACCAGGTGCTGTCCAGCTCTTCATGTTCTTGACCTCTGTTGGATGTCTGCTACTGGGATGGTGACTGGTTCCTGTTCTGGGAGATTGCTGTAATCTGCTCTCAGGTCCTGCAGCTTCTTTGCACTGGTATTATGTGTCTTCTCTTCCTCCCATATGTTCTTCCAGTACTGTTCAGTTTCTGCTGTTGATGGCTCTGCTGATACTGTGTTGTTGCACTGCAGTTGGGAGTACACCTTGGATGGTTCTTTGGAGAACAGGGTATTTATCTTCTTGGCCTCTGCTTCTGTAGTGTATCTTCTTAGCTTGGTAGCCAGTGCTGTGAGCAGTCTCTAGGGCTTCAGATGGAGTCAGGCCCTTGTATTTTTTCAGTAACTAAGTCTTATCCTTAATCTCCACACCTTTCTGTACTTCCACAAGCTAACTTTTCTCCAAGTTGCATTGATCTTAGCCTCCAATCTCATTTTCCAATCTCATTTTGTACTGCTGTTCTTGATCGTGTAGCTAGGCGTCTCGAGGGTTACAGCAGCTATAGCAAATACCAGTTCATTGGTTTGAGTTATGGTGGTAGTAGGGATTGTCTGGAGGGCTCTATTGGCA